CCTAGTAGCGGCACCGCCGCAGGCCCCGCAATCGCTGGGCGCACGCGCGCATCTCGCAGCCGCCCCACAGGCAGCATTTGCTCAGACGATGGCACTGATCACACCAACATCCGCAAGCGGCGCTGAAGCACCTGCACCATGCCGAGGTTGCGCCCAGCAACAACAGAGCCGCTCAGCACAGGCCTGCCTCCAACGCATCACCCCAACCCTGCTGAACCCGAACCGCCTCCCCGCCAGGCGAGGTGTGCCTGCCTGGCGGCAGGCGGGACGAGGCGGACGGCGGCGACGACACTGTCACAGCGCTGCGGGAAGCCCACGAGGAGCTGGGGCTGGAGCCGCGGCTGGCCAGGGTGCGGAGGGCAAAGGGGCCTCACACGCCGGCAGCCCGGCCCAACTTCCAGGCGGCACCGCAGCCCAGCCTCCCCGGTCTTTCCCCAACTCCAGCCAGGGGAAGCCAGGGCCGGTAATTAACGTGCGTCGCAGGGTTGTAGAGTGGAGGTAGGGTTGTGCGGAACGCAGCGGTTGCATAGTGTCGGGACGCGCGGGACACTCCCTCCCTGCTTTCTCCAAACCCGGAACCCTCCAAGGTGATCTGCAAGCTGCCGCCGTTTTTGTCGAAGCACTACTTGTCGGTGACGCCAGTGGTGGCTCAGGTGGGGCTCCGGAGACTCCCCATCGGCTGCGGCTGCCGCGCGCAGTAGCTTGCGCCCCCCTGACTCGCGGCTCATGTGGAGGTGTGCCTGTCAGAGGGTCACAGGATCCTCCCAGATCGCGCAGCACGCGGCGGTGGCAGCCACAGTGAGTGATCGGGCCTGTGGCAATTTGGGTCGTTGCCATTCCTGTTTGGGGGCTCGCAGGTGCCCGCCGACTTCCAGCCCGTCATCAACCCGGACGAGGTCGACGTCGCCTTCCACATGCCGCTGGCGTCTTTCTTAGAGAGCGATGCCCATTTGCATTGGGACGTCGGCAACGCGCGCGGCGGCGGGTGAGGGCGGCAGGCTGGGTCGGGGCGTGCGTACGAGGGAGGCCGGCGGGGTGGGCGCCGAGGGCGAGCTGTTCGTGCAGCGCCAGCGAGGGGGTGGTTGGGCGAGGCTGGCCGGCAAGACAGATGGAGTCTGGGCAGAAACAGGCTTGCGGCCAGCTGCCTGGCCGGCGCGGATGGCCACACGGTGCGGCGCCCGCCACCCCACCACCTCGCTCGTATGCCATTGCACCACCACTTTGGCCCCCCTGTCTTTCCTCACACCACTCCTGCACGCCCTTTGCTGCTGCCACCAGGGTGCGCTACCGGATCCACAGCTTTGATTATGTGGATGGCGGGGAGCACTTTGTGGTTTGGTGAGAACTTGCAACGTAGCGGCAGCGGGAATGGACAGGGACGCAGGGCAGATGGCGTCACCTGGATCTGCCATCAGGCGCGCTCGACAGCCTTGGCAAGCTGACAGTCATGGGGAGCTGCTGTGCACCTGCTGGATAGGGGCCCACCCACCCCAGCAGAAGTGGGAGTCCCTGAAGAGGGTACACGTTCTCTGCTTGTGCGGACAACAACAACTGCGACCATTCCTGGGCACCCTGCCCTCATCAACCACCTGCCTCCCCCTGCCCTCATGTCAGGGGCCTGACCGCCTCGATCCTGATACGCGTCGCCGAGCTGGCCTTCGGCCGCGCCCCCGCTTTCGAGGTCCGCGCGCGAACCGGGGCGGGGCGCCCCGAATCGGGTGCGGGCGGGGGCCGAGCCGCTGCCTCAACGGCTTGGGCGGGGCCGTTGGACGGTGGGGCGTGGCCACGGTGGTGCCGCCGGTGCAGGCCTTGCCACAATTCCCGGCACGGGAGCCCGCAGGCTCCAGATGACGGTTCCACCGTCCTCATCCACATCTTCCCTGCGCATGCTGTGGATGGCTACAATCCAAACATCCTGGGGTTCCCACATTCTTGGCGCGCAGGTCAATGGCCGTGGCTGCACCTGCCCTTCGCTTCTCGCCTTTGATGGCGAAAGGGTGATAATCCGGAAGCCCGCCGCCACCGCCGACACTGCCGCGCCCGGCCGCAGCGCAAGCAGCAGCGGCGGCGGCATCAGCAGCAGCGGGCGCAGCGGCGGGGGCGCTGCTGCTGCTGATGCGGCGGCGGCGGCAGCGGTGGTAGGACGGATGGTGGATGCTGACGAGGAGGAGGAGGACGAGCTGCGAGCAGTGGCAGGGTGAAGTTGAGCAGCTTGTCTTTACCATCAGGGGTTTTGGCCCCCCTGATCAACACCCTGCACGTGATTGTCAGAATGCAAACACGCGCAAGCGTAGAGAGAGCGACCGCTGTGCCTGTCAGTCACGACAGCTGTTGAATCGTGGTGATTTGCTATATGTTGCTGTGCAACGCTCCAAGAGTGCAAACCTATGACCATTTTACACAAACATTGCCTGGATGTGTTTTGAGGACGAGAGGATGGTGGTGGTCGGGTGCTGGCCAGTCCATACTGACCCTTGACTGCCAGCCATGCGAGGGCACTGATGCCCTCATTGACATTGACATTGGTGTGTGAGCCGTGTTTTTGTGTTTTTTTTCCGGGTTTTTTTCCTTCTTTTCTGCCTTCCCCTCATGCATGGTCTGATGCTTCAGGTCTGCCTACACCGCGCGCTGCCGCTGTTGCGGTTTTGCTTGTCAATACACATAGGTCAGGACGGCTGCAACAGCTGTTCAATGATTGCAACGGCCCCTGGCGGGATGCACCTTAGGTTTTGGCGGCGCTGGTAAAGGCCTGCGCCTGCAGTCAATTAGGTTGTTGGTCTTCATGGTCGACACCCACGGCAGTGATCAGACCCCTCATTAGACAGGATCAAACCACGCAGCAAAACAACAGCCGTGATGTCATGGACAGAGATTGTGTGTGAATGTGTGTGGATGCTGGTGGCGTTGTGCACGCACGCGCGTGCACAAGTGTGCACACCTGCTTGCGAGAGGGGGTGGCGGGCTGGTTGCTCCTGCGCGATACTGTTCTGCATGGGCTACATGTGTGTAGACAAAGTACAACAAAGTAGCACAAGAGCAGCGCGCCCGTTTTGAGGCTGTGGACAGGCTGGCAATTGTGTTAACCGGCTCGGTGATGCCTGGCAGCAGGCACAACGTCGAAATGACCTGGTGGGGATGTCCAGCGCGTGTCAGTCGCGTTGGGCATACGCAGGAGCATTGGCACCTCAATGTGTTGAGTGCTGTGTTTGAGTGGACAAGTGTGTGTCGCCATCCGTGTGTGGGCGGGCGTCATCACGCTTGGGTTGTGGCTGCGGTGTGTGGCGCATGGAAATGTGTTGTTCATGGTGCGTTGTGGATGAGAGGAGCAGGGGGCAGAGAACCACAATGACTTCGACAAAGCCGGCAGTCAGGCACCTGCGTGCCAGTCCGGGCCAAGAAGGCGCGCCGGACTTGGATGCATGCCCTGCAGGGAGGAATTCTTGCAAGGATAGGCGGCCACTAGGTGGCTCGACACGCACGCCAAGGCCCAGGAAGCACCGAGCGTCGCCGGCTGCAAAACGAGATTTGGCCGTATGCTGTAGGAAAGGAAGTGTCAAGGGCGCTGGGACGGCAGCCCAGATCTGTCCGGGCGAGCCGGGGTCAAGTGAGGCGTGCGTTGGAGAGACCGCGCCTCCCAGATCATGATCCGCTGGTGCTCCAGACCGCCGACAGCGACGTCCAGATCACGCGTAGCCCGAGGCGGTGCACTCTGTCCCGTTCTTGCCGTTGGACGCGCAGACGCACGCCGGGCACTGCGGCAGCGCCGACGGGGCGTCGGTGGCGTAGCGGCAGAGGCGGCAGTTGCCGCCGTTCTTGATGCAGCCGTCGAGGGCCGGGTTGGTCGTGCACGCCTGGTCGTATGCCACCTTAAAGTTCTGCGCGCACAGGCGGGGATCGGCACAACCACACGAGCCGTTGTTTGTTGGTGCGCCGCCATGCAGTTCTCCAATTAAACGTCGAGGATGGGTGCGCTTCCAGTAGCACCTACCCAGGACCAGGGGCCGGCCCACCTACCCCGCCAGGCTATGCGAGGTGCACGCACGCCCAGAGGAAGGGCTCTGGAGAGCCCACGCTGCTTCGCCTTCGCCCCCTTGTGGGGCCCTATGCAGCTGGCTTGCCGTCGCCCGGCCCGCCTCACCCTGGAAGCGGCGTCAAAGGTGCCGCAATGGTTGGCGCAGCAGACGCTGCCGCTGGAGCAGAGCTTGCCGGTTGTGGGCCAGCAGGCGTACGTTGGGTCATTGTTGGGGTACTTGCTCGCGTCGGTCTGGGGTGTGTTGCCTGCAAGCACAGGGTTGAGTGCAAGCACAGGCATGGATGTGAGCGATGCTCCAACGATGCGTGACAGGGGTGGGTGTTGCGCTGCCAGCAGGCCGCCAGCGTCACCCAGCATTGAGGCAAGGGTGGTATTCGTCAAAGCAGCACCTTTGAAGCATCAGAGAATCTCGTTCAAGCACACGTGAAAGGCAAACAAAACAGAAAATATCAGCGATGCCGAGCGACGCGCGCTTGCACTCACCGTTGAAGCAGATAGGGACAAACGCCGCCCCCAGGCCGACCTTGGAATCACACAGCAGGCCCTCATTGGTCGTGCCAAACGCCGTGTCGATGCACGAGGCGCCGACATACGGGAAGCCATTCCAGCAGTCGCCCGATGGGTTGGGGCACGCAGGCGGGAGGCCCTGGGTGCCCTTGGCCACCGGGTTGAAGGGCTTCAGGGGGGTCAGCTGCATTTGACGCAAGGGGCGCGGGCGAGCGAGCGGCGGCGACGGCGTCAGAGTAAGGAATGGAGGGCGGGAGTGGGTGGAGGGCTTTAGAGTCCCAGCAGGATCCAGACCCTGCACAGGGCAAATTCTGCGCTCGTGAAAACGTGGGGTGCGCTTGAACTGTTTGATTGTTTGATTGTTGTCGCAGAGCAAGCCGTGCGGGGCCTGCGGCGCTGTGCCGCACCTGCTCCAAGATGCGCTCCTGTCCCAGCGGTGCAAAGAAGCCCCCGGTGCCTGCAGTTGGAGAGACCGAGGTGGGAGGGTGCGGACGCTTCACCCCAGCAAGCATCAGCCCGCCCGCTGCTTGTGCGTGGGACCCCGCACAACCCCACCCGTGCGATGCGCGCAAAAGCCGGCAGGGGTCCATGCAGGTGGCAACAGCATCGTGGCGCGGGCGGCAAGCAGCAGCGTACATGTCAGTGAGAGACTGAAACAATGGACCTCATGACCCCCGGTCAAACTTGAAATCTTGTTCGCTGCACCAGCCCAGGCCTGAACCAATATCCTTGCCTAGAAGCAATTTGTTCTGCACAATCAGCACCCACGATTGATCATAAACATAATACAGTCCGGACGCGTTTGGCTTGCCCACCTGTGTATGTGAGGCCGTTCCCGCTGAATAGGTAGTTGAACGTGCCCATGCAACCTGGTTGAGTTGAGAAGCATAGGAGGATGCAATGAAGAGCATGGATTGGACAGCGGGCAAAATCAAGGTGGGTCGAGGGGAGAGCAAGGATGACAGGGGGAAGTGATGGGCTGCCGCCCAACTAGCACCTGGACGGAATGCAAGTCACATTAGAGGGCTTTGCAGGTTCCTGCTGGCCACGACACAATCCTGGCCTCAACTGTTTGGGGACCCAATATCATTGTGACAAACTTAACTCGCTGTGACAAACCCCATGCGGGGTCAGTGCAATCCATCCACATTACTCAGCTCACCTAGATTGAGGGTGACTTTGACCAATAGAGCCCGCGTGTCGGCGGTGGCGCCAGGCTCGTTCCAGAACTCAAGGAACCGGGTGAGGAGGCCTGGGTGGTGCGGGCCCAGGGTGGGGTGAGTGACGTGACGGAGCGAGCGCAGCCCACACTGCGTGCTTCCCCGAGCGCAGATTGGGCTGCTGGCCGATTATGCACTCACGTGCACATGCATTTCCCGCGACAATGTTGCATGCGGCTGGTTGCGCGCTGTACAGATGGGTGCGACGCGTAGGTTGAAGGCGGAAAAGGGCACCCCCACTGTGTTGCAGTCAACAGGAAGCTGGATCCAAAGCCGTGTACGCCTGCAACCCCACCCATTCATATCGCCGTACCTTTGGCGTTCAGGTTGCCCGAGAGGTCTGTGAAGCCTGGGCACAGGGCCCTTGTGATGTTGTTTCTATACCCTGCGGTCAGCAGGGTATAGCAGCAGCAGCAGCCAGAAGGGTCAGCAGGGTGTTGGAAGCTTTTCCATTGCAGCGCTGGCCCTTTGCGCGAACACGGCTGGTCTGCCGACGCTCACTTATGAAGGTTGCGTCCTTGCACGTCCTGGCAAACGGGTCTGCCGCGTCCGGCTGCAGTCGCCTGAACCTCGGCACGAGCGGCTTCGGGGTGGCGGCCGAGAAGGGGTCCTCCACCAGCGCCGCCGTGACGGTGCCAGGCGGGTACACGCCGTCGGTGAGGTTGCAGCTGCCGTCGGCGGCGTAATTCTCGAGGCGGACCGGGGTGTTGGCGGGCGGGAGGAACTTGCCACCGACTGCGTCAGGGAACGCCAGGTCCTGCAGTGGTGAATTTACAGTGTGGGCACAGCAGTTGCCAAGTGGTGATGGTGAAAGGAAGGGGGGAGGACGACAAATGGGATCCTTTGGCAGCTGCTGTGCGTAGGGTGTCTCACAAGCGGTGGGGCACTTGAGGGCACCAGGTGGCCTGAGACCCCTATACAGAGGTGAGTGTTTCCATTGTAGTCAACACTTCCCCAGCCCAACCGACCCTGGCAGTGACAACCATCAAACATCAAGACAATCCAGCAATTTGCAGTAACGCAGCCTTGGGTCAAATCCTGTAAAATCGAGCAAGTATTTGAAGTCAACGCATGGGGGGTCTGTTGCGCACCTCAAACACGCAAAGGGCAGGGCATCCGGTGAGCTCCTGGAACGTCTTGCTGCTCAGCACCTTGGCTGTGGCGTTGACGTCGGCGGCCGCGAGCGTGGTGTTGAGGCTCGACTTCACATAGCCGGACAGGTAATTCAACACGACTGGCCATGTGGGGACGAATGCCTGGGACGGGGCCAGAGGCAGGGTTGGGGCAGGAGCGATGCGAACAGCGCAGCGGTTTAGTCAGTGCGAGAGCAGGCATGCACCAAGGTGTGGTGCAAGAGTTTGGGGATCGTGGACGGCTGCTTCACGCGTTCCGGCGGCGAAGCCGGCGCGACAAGCGGGGCGGTCTCAACCCCGCATTGGCATGAGCTGCGCTGCAAGACACGTGCATGTGCTGCAGCGTGCATTGTGTGCATCGAGCTCCTGAGCATGCGCGCGCACCTTGGGCCAGCGCTGCACTGTGCCGTCCCACTTGGTGTTCTTCTTTGGGACGTCTTTGGCATTGCGGATTTGCATTGTTGTTCCGTTGAGCTGCAGTTGATGGGGGGATGGGGGGGTTGTTTGAAGAGAGGAAGAATATGCGGTGGGGGTGTTGTTGTGCGATGATGAGGGCTGCAGGGGCAGAACGGGTTGCGAGAAGGGGGTGTAGTTGGGGCCAGGCCGGTATGGTGGTGCGTGCGGACTGAATGAGTGAGACGCTCTTGTTGTGATTGGAAGGACTAGCATGACAAGGGTCTGGATACAGAGGGCCTGCAAGCAATAGACCAGGGTGGGTCGAAGAACGATGTCAGCCAGGATTCATGCGAGGAGCCATTGTGCCGGGCCGCACACGATTTGGGCCGCGCAGCGGGTGCTCCCGAGCCCCTGCCATCCGCGCAAGTGACCAGATGGGGGCCCCACTCACCAGCAGCTTCCCGTAGTAGCCCTTCTTGAACTTGCCCTTCTCCAGGGTCTTGGGGTCCCTCACCACCATCAGCAGCCCCAGGCCGGTGATGTCAGCATCAGAAAGCTGGTACCCAACCTGCTCCAGGAACGCCAGGCCTGGAGAGTTGGGGAAGCGTAAGGGGGCTGTCTGCATGCACCTTGACGATTGGCACTGGCGTTCGTGGTTTGGTTTTTGGATGCTCGGGAACACGGAAGGAGGGCGCAACCTCGTTGGTCTCTCGGGGCATGGATGACCCCTTCAAAACACTTTAATGGCGGACCACTTGCAGAAGCTGAGGGGGGGCAAAAGCAAGACTGCACGGTTTCAAGTGACTTGCAGCCAGGCTGGTTTTGACTCAAGGTTGGCTGAGCACCGTTCTCGCCTCACAAGCTACAAACACCATGCGCATGCACACACTGGCTCACACCCTCATGCATGCACGAACGCACGCACATGTGCGCCTGCGCACATGTGCACGTATATACATGCACACAGGCGTGGACACGCACACACGCACACACACACGCACGCATGCATGCACACACGCACGCATACACACACATACATGATCCCCTCCCCTCTCTGCCAGATGACTTTGTTCCGGTATGCCCCGACCCCATCCTTCGTCCCGCCCTACCATTGGGGATGGTGGTAATGGATCCACGCGGGGCCACAGGGTTCCCAATTGCCAGGTACTTCTGGGGCTGGTCGCCTTGATGGGTAAACGTTGCAGCCGACGCGAGTGTGGGGGTTGGGTGACACCCATATGTTCTGGAATGGGACTGCAGAGCCCAAACAATCGGGCCCTGCACCGGGCTCGGCAACAGGGCCCAGGGATTCCTCCCCATGCACATGAACACACCTTAGTGCAATATGGTGTTTGCGGTGCACCAGTAAAATCGCAGTGGTGCTGATATCAAGTGCCAAGGCAGCGCACGAGCAATCTGCCTGTTGAGTGACGAGCAAGCCAGTTTCACCTGCTCCCAGGAAGTTTGCAAACTTGAATAAAAAGCCCTCCCGCAGCCGCTTCTCCGCCTCAACCCAGGGCGTTGGGGGCAGCTGGCCGTTCGCGACGGCGGTGTACCTGCGGGCCAGAAAGGTTGGAGGTGGAGGATTGCAGGGCAATTACAAGATCACCTGGCGCTCACGCCATGCACCCTCCTGGTATGAGAGATAATTTTGGGATAAGGAATACGATTGCATGCGCGCTAGCACCGCGATGCGTGATCGTCGTCGTCAGGTGCATGCTGGAGCGCATAAGCAGTCTGCTGTCCATCGTCATCCAGCCGCGCCTTAGCCCCCTCATAGGCAGAACGCGGCAGCACCACCACCGACCGCGGCATCACTCACCAACTGGTGCCGACCTGGCCGGCTGCCACCCCGCCGAGTCGCACCAGCAGCCCCTCGGTGCAGCGCACCTCCCTCTGCGTTTCAGGGCCAAAGGGTGGCAGGCAACCATGTGTGTGTGCAGCGCAAGGCAGCGGCTGGCGGGCAGCCAGGGTGGAGGCAGCGCTGCAGGGTAGAGGGCGCGAGTGTGTCAGCTGCACAGGGCGTACTTGTTAGACATGCAGAGCCCTCCCTTGTGCAATGGCGTTGTGACGACACGAACACGTTACCTGCCACTCCGCTGACAATCACATTGATGATTGCCTTTGCCCTGACCTCCGTCTGCCTCCCTCCACCCCTCCGCTCAGCAGACGACCAAGTTGCGGCCCACCCCTACTTTACCCCCAGATTCTCCTCTCTCATGACCTCACTAGCCCACCCCTTCACCCGCCACCCATCACCCCAGCCCTCACGTTTTTGAACGCCTTGATGTACTCAGCAGGGCTGGTGATGCCTGTGCATACGGAACAGCGAGGGGAGGACCAGGTTTGTTATTGGGGCATCGTATCAGCGGGTTTCAATGTGCCTGAGGACACATGGTCAAGATCACTCAACAAAGCACAGGGCACGAAAGGCGGCCGGCGCCCAGCAGGTTGTGTCGCGCCAGCACTGCGCTCTCGGAAATCGTCTGCATCCAAGACGCATCACAGCCCGGCCCACGTGCGCCCTGGATGGCACAGGTGATGGGGTAATGGAAGCGCTTTAGTAAGCAAGACGGGCTTCAAGGGTGTGGCATCGGCCGATGAAGCACCCACATGGGAGGTCGCTGGGGTTGAAGCCGTCGACGATCGAGGGCGCGACGCCCTTGCTGCCGCGAGAGGCTGTGCCCGCGCTCGCCAGGAAGTCCAGTGGCCTGTGAGAAGGTGTACGGGGTGCGGCGTGTGCGGCGACGCCAGGGACGCGCAGCCCGGAGGAAATCCAGGAAGCGCGAGCTTTGCTGCACAGCAGGCGGATGCGGGGGCCATCAGCAGCAGGCGTGTGTGCGCGAGTAGGCGTGAACGCACCCCTGGGCTGCCGTGCCGCGACTCAGCAGCAGTATGCCTGTTGACGGGTTTGGCAACAAGGGCCCGAAGGATAACAGGAGGGGTGGGGGCAGAGGGATTGCGGGATGG